AAAAAAAAAAAAAAACAAGCAGGGCTGATGAGGACATTAGAGGGCCTGGGCTGATGTCAGCATCTCTTCTACAACATCACCACCAAGTGGTCACACGGTTTATACTTACATAGTTCCCCAGGGGTCAACTAACCCCTCACCGTAGCTTTATTCATTCATTCGACAACTAGTTATGGAGCACTGACCATGTACTAGGCAGAGCTGGGAGCAGGGGATGAGAGGAATGAGACAGACGTCTTGATGAGTGCAGCCTGCATCCTAGTCCCCACGTAGGAGGAACACACAATAAACAAATAAATGAATTTTTTGCAGTGCTTTGGGGAAAACAGAACTGTGTTGGGATCAAGAGTGAATGAATTCTGAGTGATACTTGATTACAGAAGGCCTAAGAAAGTGACTTTTGAGCCAAGATCTGAAATGACCAGGGTCACTCAAGGGACAGGGCATTCTAACCCAAGAGAAGAGATCCTACAAAGCTAGAAGGTAGAAATGTGCTTTGTGAATTCAGTATATGGAAGAGCCAGATCATGTCAGGTCCTGCAGGTGAGAGTCAGAGTTTGGATTTTTTCCTAAGTGTAATGAGACGCCACTGGAGGGTTTTAGGCAGTGACAGGATCTGATTTTTGTCTGTAAAATGGGGATTATCATAACCACCTTGAAGAATTTTTGTGAGGATGAGAGATCATGTAAATAAACTGCTCAACATGTTACAGGCACTCAAGGAGTGAAAACTGTTAATTCAGTGAGTCTTCACGGAGCATCTCCCAAGCACTCCCAAGCAGAGGCTCTATAGATGGCTAAGCCACAGTCTCTGCCTTCAAGTCCACCTGGAGAGTCAAGATATTTACAAGTACCCACTTCCAGATCATCTTATTTCCTTAATTTCCGGTCAATTCCCTACTACGTATTCTATTCTCTAATAATGTACAGTATTTGGCAATAAGAACTTAAGCTCTGGAGTTAAGAATTGCCCTGGTTTTCAATTTTAGCTCCACCACTTACTAGCTGTTTAACTGTTTCCTTAAATTTACCTCAAAGGAATGCTGTGACACTTAAATATGTTAATACGTGTAAAGGGCTTAAACAGTGCTTGCCCATGGCATTTCATAAGTGTCACCTCAATGAGCCCTCCCTGACCACTCTCTTTAAAAGTGAACACTCGGGCTGGCCCCGTGGCTTAGTGGTTAAGTGCGTGTGCTCCGCTGCTGGCTGCCCGGGTTCGGATCCCGGGCGCGCACCGCACGACGCACCGCTTCTCTGGCCATGCTGAGGCCGCGTCCCACATACAGCAACTAGAAGGATGTGCAACTATGACATACAACTATCTACTGGGGCTTTGGG